TACTGCTTATTATGGTGGCATGATATTTAGTAGCTGAAGTGGAAAAAACCTCGTCAGTACATAGCTCGTCCAGGAGGTCTCCTGGAAATATCAGGATTGCCTACTGGTGTATACTGGCCATAAATACTGAGTACTGGGGATTGCTACACTGCATTGCCACTGTCTTGCCTAATGCCAACAGTACGGTTGTCACTTAGCCATTGTGAATGACATTCAGGATGGCAACCTTTACACACATCTAAGTTATTTAGGGGGTCTACGTTCTGTTTTAAAAAATTGCTTATGGAGAGTCAATGAGCTAATTACTCATCGCCAAGCTGGGGTGAGAACCTGCAGGACATCTCTTCTCTCTGATGCCAGCTAATGAAAAAAGGATCTCAGGGTTGCTGGGAACTGCCTTCCCTTTCCAGTAACTTCATGTCCACCAGGAAGTAAGGACACATCTGTGATTCGTTACACTAGAATAAATGTCTCCGCAGGTTTATACTCCAGCTTGCCCGGAAGGATGAACCATGTGTCTATCCACACCTTCAGATTCACATTTTGACACTCAGGTCTTTTACACAAGTTCTAAGACCCTGGTGATTATCCATAATCAACTGTGATGGGTTAAAGTTCAGGTGTCCTACAAAGTACAGGGGAAGGGCTTCATGCTTGGGAATGCACGTAAAGCCACTGCTTTAACCAGCTGATGGACTACGTATACACATCCTCTGGGTAGGAACATGCCATAGAAGGATGTAGCTGCTCTCTCTGTTCAGCGCCATGTTACATGAGGCAGGGAGATACTTCCCTCCAGCTGTCATGAGTTTGGACCAAGTGCCTAAAAGCCATCTGTCAAACGCCCTAAGTAAGGTCAATACTGCCTTTCAGAGCACCAGACATGACCATTTAGAGCACTCTTGGAAGGAGGGACGCTTAGATTCAGTTCCTTCACTGGCATTCAGGGTATTTAATCCTATCTTTCCAAATGATCACCCTGATCACTAGGCACTGAAATTCCCAGAAAGGCCAAGGAGAGAGTGAAAGTGAAGGTCACCACATGACAAGCAAGTAATCTGGCCAGGGGACTCCATGATAAAAACCACCCTCCCACTGTTCCCCCACAGGCAAGTGAGAGACTGATTCATAGACCCTGATGGGGACTTAGTGCCTAAGTCCCTTGAAGATTCATCCATTAGTAAAATTGACAAAAATGACCAAATAAGTGAGTGTCACTAGCTGCTCAGTACCCAGCCATGGAGCACTTCTGTTAGTTACAGTGTGTATCTACCTGCATACTTGGACACTTCCACCTCCTTGTGTGTCTGACTCTCGAGATATCAAATTAATTTTTGAATATGAGATTTTGTATCTTCATTCATATATAGGTACTTTTGAAAATGTTGTCAAGGGACAGTGCACTAAATAGTCTGAAACCTCAATAAGAGGTAGATGACATTTACAGCGCATGGAAAAGAAAGTCAGACGAGAGAATTGCAGCTTTGGTGGAGTCTAAAAAACAGCCTAATGCAGATGTCTCTAGAGCTTCCGTTTTTCTTAAACATGAGGATCAACATCTATAAGCCTTAGGCTGAAAAGGTGGTTTGGGAGGAAATGAAACGGAGATGCATGAAAAGTCAGGGAGCAGTGTCACATATAACTGTGCTGTGGAAGCAAAGTGGAAGAATTTAGAAATCAAACCATGAAGACAGAACTGTCCCAAAATCCTTGAAAACAATCCATATTTTAAGCACAGATTCGAATTTGGAAAAATGAAGTAATTTTATTAAAAAGAAGGAAGTGGACATTTTTCTCTCTTTATCCCTTAAATAACTGAAGAAGAACCATAACGAGGCAAAGACTTCCTTAGAACTTAAATCAGAGGCTGTAAATTGGTGGTGTGACAGCAGTAATACACTTTATTTCACTGATTATCCTGGCACAAGTACCTTGGTCCGGTAATTAATTCACGTGCTGAACACTTGACCCAAATTTTTAGGGGTAATCCGCTTGGTAATCTTCTAAATACCTCCAGGCAGAAATTTGTAGCAGGGATTTCAATACCTGTACTTCTTTAGTAGTTGGGCCATAAGCTGAAATGTTCTGGCCACACTAATCCTCATTAATAAGAAAGCATTTTATACAGAGACCCATATAGAGAGTGCGTGTGTTCCAGGTGAGTACACTTGAAGCCCATTTTCTTAATGTATTTCTTCTTCACTCCCCATAACATGCACTGCTACAATGCTGGCATCTTTATCTAACCAAGTTCTTCCCTTACACTACATCCTCGTGTATCAAGCCTACACACAGTAAGTGGGACTAATCCGCACTGAACAAGGCATGTAAAAGTTGGATATCTAGTTCTGAGCTAGACCCTCTGTGAATCCTCTATGGGCAGCAAAGAAAAAATGACATCTCCAAGGGATGATTCATCTCACTGGAAGAGCACCATGAGGTTGGTCTGATGTCTCATCTCCAGGAGTTGCTTATTTTGCTCTGCTGACTGCAAAGAAAGCCCAGAATGGTCAGCTTGACGTTGGACATCTGACCTAGTTCATGACAGTGGAACGCCACACGGTATTTTAAAAATACTGTAATATTTATGTCAAATGGCCACACAGCTGCAGCGTTACACTAGACTTCTGGATCCTTACTGCAGAACAGCAGAAGTGGTTTTTTTTGCCACTTTGCAGAATCTAATAGACCATGTGCACCTGTTTTGGACATCTAGTATTTTCAAATTCTTCTTCATAAAGCAAGTGACATATTGCAACCAATTATATAGGGCTGTAGGAAAACAATGGAAAAGGATGCATTAAGAACGTTCTTCAGATCCACGTGAATACAGGGAAGTTCTTGAAAAAGGGAAGCTCATTTCACAGTCTCCATGTTTAGCAATCTTAGGCATATACATGTGTAAAGCAAAAACATCATCCATCTGTTCATAGCAAGTTTGCAGAGAATTTTAATAAGATCCATTAATGCTAATAATGGCCAATGTTTATGATGTTTATAAAATAACCAATGTGAAGCATCTGGAAAGCTCATAAAATTTGTTCTTATAAAATCCACAGAGTGTAACACCTTTCCCTGAGTCTGGTTTTTGGTGACCTTGTCCTCCTACGCCAGACCTGTCAGAAACTCTCTTCTTCCAGGCATTGCTGTGGCTGTGGCACTCAGAAACTCATGTTTGGAAGCCAGACCTATTTCTGCTTTTGCAAGTTCAGCATTCGGCACATTGCAGGAACAAACCAGATAGCCAAAACTGCATGTTTCCACCTGAAACTACAGGGATCTCTATTTCCAAGTGACAGATGTTCTACAACAGTTGGTGACAAACGGGCTAATTTAGACTGATTTAACTAAAGTTCAGCCTGCTGACAATGGGGGATTTTTTTTAATGCAGCTGAAGAAGGCATTTCCGAATGCTAGGGCTGGCTGTTGCACACTAAACTACAGAGGCCCTGGTGTGAACTGAACAGCACGGCCATGCATGGTGCCTGCGTCTGCTCCTCACGCTGCCTTTTGGTTGCTGAGATGGAAAATGACAACGTCTAGCAAATTACCAAGGGAATCAGCTGGTCTTTAAAACTTACTCACTGAGCATGCATCCTCAGAAATGAAATGCCTTTAGCCCAGAATCTTTCTTCCTAAGCTCAGGCTCCTAAGCTCAGGCATCTAAGCTCTTAAATTAGAAGGACATGTGCCCTGGTGAATTGCTCTTCTGAAACGCTGAGCTCTCCATCACACATGAAGGAAGCTTCCAGGAGCTGCTCTCCTAACCCAGGCAGGCAAGTCCATCCAAGTTTCTGCCTTCAGCTCTCACTTCTGAAGGCTGACCACCGAGTGACCAGAAAAGTATTGCAGAAAAGCCTTTAGGGCTCATTTTTTTAATGTAAACATCAGGGGTGTGATTCAGAAATTACAATGTAACAACTGTATTGTCCTCCATCTGGTAAACTGTCTTGGTTTTTGTCTTTAACTTGCATATGAGAGCTGGCTTTAGGTTCCACCCTTCTGAGCATCATAAAGCCTCTTGCCTGAGCAGCCATGAGTCGATATGTTAAAAACCAGCAACAATGAAATTAGTAGTCTTTCTCCTTTTTTCTTTTCTTTTTTTTTCCTTTCTTCTTTTCTCTTCTCTTCTCTTCTCTTCTCTTCTCTTCTCTTCTCTTCTCTTCTCTTCTCTTCTCTTCTCTTCTCTTCTCTTCTCTTCTCTTCTCTTCTCTTCTCTTCTCTTCTCTTCTCTTCTCTTCTCTTCTCTTCTCTTCTCTTCTCTTCTCCTCTCCTCTCCTCTCCTCTCCTCTCCTCTCCTCTCCTCCCTTCCCTTTGAAGAACACTTCTCTGCAAGTATCCTGATCACTGTTTTATGAGGGAACCTCATTAAGGTAACTCCATTGATTATATTCCTGTACTAAGGAGCTGCCAGCACTAAATATTTAAGGCAGTTTATCTGCCAAATTAATACCAGCATTGTATCAGCCAAATAGTCCCGATGCCAGCAGCAGCACAGCATATTCTTTTACTGTGGGGGTGGCTTGTATGCTGTGAATATATCCCTAAAAGTTGCTGAATCCTACTTCCTTTTACCTAAACCCAGGCTAAAAATATAATCTAATTGTCCTCTATTCTGTAATTGGCCTAGTTAACTAGCTGCCACACAGAGGGTACATATCACTTCTCTCCACAAAAGCACGATCTTTGCTCAGAGCAGGGAGGCTTCTGTCTGGTCCGTTCCTGAAGTGCTATGTCTACGCAAGAGTAGACATTATGCATAGAGCACGTCTTCGTCTATTAATAAAAAAACTACTGAAACTTTGCTCACCTTGAGAAATAAGCTCTTAGGAATGGTCCTTGTTCCTCCAAATTGCCATAGAGTATGGAATAGGGTATGAAGTAGAATATGACTGCATTGCAACTACTTACCCCCAAACAAACAAGCAAAATGATAAAAAAAACACTACCACCACCACCACCATCACTACAACAACACTGGACAAAAAGGAGTTACTTACATTGAGTGAGGATCCCCGTTAAGGCATTTTTGAAACTCTCCTTGGCTTGCTCCATCTCTTGCTCATGAGCAGCCTTCTCATTCATGAGCCGTCGGACGTGGCTGTTGGCCGACTGCACCATGGAATAAAACTGGTTTGCAGAGCGACGATTCACCTCGCCTCGCTCAATCCAGGTAAGCAGCACTGTGATGGCCTCGGAAAACTTGCTATCGTCTAGAACAATCAAAGCACAGGTTTTAAATTGCAGGCATAAATATCCTGCCGAGAACACATTTTCTGCTCCATGTCACATTAAAATCACCATAAATCCTGCTTGCAGTATATCATTTTGGGCAACTTTTGGGCCCTTTCGTCTATCAGATGTAGGAAGCCAATACTGCCGTGTGAAGCTACATAAATCTTCCTTCAAGGCTTGTCTTCTGCTTATTTCAATAGCTTTCTCACAACAAAAAGCACCCTCCCGCCCTTCCCTGTGGCCTGACTCCTTGCTTTCACAACTTCTCCCTTAAGCCGTTCACTGATATGGAATGATCTTACACGGGGAGTGTGGAGACCTCAGTGTTACCGGATCCACTGAAGACATAAAATGTGTCCGCGTTAATCTGCTCGGCCGAAAGCTCAGTCATGGAGCTTGGGTTCAGCCATACTTTTGTCAACAGATTTCACTAACATCGTATTCGTAATTAATGAACAATGACAAGGCTGAACAATTCCTCCTCAAAGCACTGATTAATTACAAGGAACTGCCTTGAACAGATGATGTGTCTGTATTTGTTCTGTGTTTTGCATTTGTCTGTATTTTGGTTTTACGTATTTTTTTTAAAGGAATCCAGGCAAACACCTGGATTACAGCTTTATGTTTACCATTCAGGTAACTAAAGGGACATTTCTCTGCAGAAAGATGGCCAAAACTGGTGACTAGATTTTAAAAAAAAAGTAATCTTCTTTCCTCTGACAGTGTTCTCAGCTTCCTCAGAAGACTCTTAGCGCAGCATTCATTACACTTCTGGCTTCGTCAGGATTAAGAGGACACATTTCTTTTTAAGTCCTATTTAGGCTGAACTGCAAGAAAATGTTATTACAAGAATGCCTTCCCGTGGAACCATTTTGGTGCAACTCTATCTCATTTTTTCCCCAGGATTTTATTCTTTAAAACTTCCATTTCCCAACAAATCATTTTAAACATCTCATCTAGTCCTTGTTGGTTAGATTTCTTTATATATATTTTAGATGGTAGGCATATCTTTCTATAGGGGAAGGCATCCAGTTATGGTGAGGAGAAGTAGTATAGTTATAATCAAAAAACACTTAAAATGATAATTGGAAAATATTAAACCAAACCAACTGTGTTACAGGATACAGAAATGTGGGGTATAATTTGTAAGACTTGTTTGCACCTTCCATGTGCAAAGAATAGTGAAATAGTAACACTTAAGTGATGATCTAGGCTTTTATTCTGAATCAGTAATCACCTCCCTAAAAGGTGAGGAGCCTAAAGACAGGACGAGTGACATGCTCTGTGCCCACAGCCTGTGAAGAATAGATTTTACATTGCCTGATCTTTAGCATCTTATTAACTGAAACATGCTTGCAGCTACAGCAATAGGATTTGCTTTCTGCAGCTAGATAAGCATGTTCATCCTAGATCCTTGAAAAAATTTGCAAAATAAGAGCATCATAACACTCTTCCTCTGTACGATGATGTATCTGTTGTGACTTTACATTAACATATGATTCATTATCATTCATTAAGTAATTGTCTCTGGGGAGGAAAAGTCAGATGGGCATATTTTATTTCTATATTGTCCCCTTGGATTAGACTCTACGTCCTAGCTTTGCTGAATACATATACAGCAGGTATGTATTAAGTGGCTCTAACGAGTGACGTTGGCTGAATATGGGCCTCAGAAAAGCCAAATGTAAACAAGGCTCACACAAAGCCTCTTCGTTGCAAGAAAACACTAGGATAAGTCTTTCCATCCTTGGGTAAAATCTTCAGTCTGCTGAAATACATGAGAGCTGGATGTCACAGATCCAATATAGCCAAGAACTCATTCCTGGAACATAATGTTTATTATAATTACAGTAGTCAATAAGAATAACCTGTAATGGCTTCTGGCAATGTTAGCATGCGATTTCCAACAGTCTGTACAGTCAGGTCACCCTGCGGATGGCACTAGCCTGTTAACACCAAGGATGCGGCTGATTGTGAGTAGAGTAGCTACAGCTGAATATTCCTCTTTTTTCCTCTCATAGACATCATTATCTATATCACCAGACATAATTTATCACCCAGCACTGAAGTACCATTTAGAGTAAATTATCCCATTCAATCTAGGTCAAGACATGAACAGCAAAGTTGGGCAAAATGATACAGAGAAGCACCTCTGAAGAGGTAGATCGTGACCTGTGAAGAAACACTGTGCAGAACTAAGCAAAAATGTTTCACGGAGACGGATGAGGAAAATCAGTTGCACAGAACCATTCTCCCTTTTTCTTGCTTTAATCTCTCCCCAGTACACGACTGCGTGTTGTTTTGCTATAGAGTCTATACGAAATTAAAACACCCCTCCTCTTGTTTTGTTTTCATCGGGCACAGTTGGTGTCTGTAAGGAAGTCTGTGGGCTTGTTATAGTTAATTCATGGCTCTGTACTGGCAAGAAAAAAACCTTCCATTGGTAAACATCAGCATCTTCATTGATTACATAATTAGAAGATACATTAAAAAATGCTAGAGGGTAATACATGCACTACAGGAGCACATTAGTTAATAAAATCTTTTCTCTACAGTTTTAAAATTTCCTTATTTCACCTTCATTTCTAACTTTTATATGCTTGAGTTGACTACTCAGTGACTGGCATAAGGTAACTCACCGTGAATTAATTTTCTTCATCTGGAATGTAGTGACTCTTTCTGAGCAATCAGAGGTTCACTTAGAAAATCAGACTTTTATACCGGATTGTTCATTTATTATTTTTTTTAGTAGGTAAATAGTAGAAGAAATGCAGCAATGGAATCTAATTTAAGCAGAGCATGAACTGCCTTACGATTACAGCCATTCATTAAAAAAATAAAACAAAACTCCTATTTCTGTTCAAAATTATTCCCTTGCGGTAAGATGCACATAAATATACACTGTTTAAAAACATACTCTTAAAGTAAATTCCTTTATATAAGACATGCTCCCATACACAATTGTTCTTTTAAAATGAGCACGCAACAAATTATTTCTCGCACTTTAAGCTTTTCTCTCCTCTCAGTTACAGAATGTTTTAGGCAAATACGGTAGGATTCATATCCTTTATTTCAACATCTGATTTACTAAGCCCAGGCTCCTGATACTGTCAATGGAAAGACATGGGCACTGGTCGGACAGGCTTCATCAGTCCTGTTTTAGCTGTCTATTTGAGGGTGAGGTGAACTGTGCCCCACAAGTACCTGCTTCCCTCAATTGGCTGTAAAGGGAGCCTGGGGTGACCTGCTCATATACAGGCATCTCTGCCACAGACAGAGTAATCCCAACTGTTACACAAGTGCACCAGTTACAGAACACCTACGCAGCGTTTGTGTACCAATGTTGGTGTCTCAGCTATACCGCAAGCTGTGATGCACGCTATGTCGCTTTCATATTACCCATCTATTGAGGACGGCTTGCTGGGTGTCTGTCGATAGAGATCTCCAGGTGCTGCTAGACTCAATCACAGGCCTCTAGAGATAAGATATTGCAAATTCCTCTTATATCAACTGAAGATATTTGGTACTTAAATCCTAGCTCACAACTTAGATGAAGTGAAATATAAAGAAAAGAAAATGCGTTCCTAAGAGCTGTCTTGGAAATTGTCAACAGAGATATTTCTATGAAAAATAAAAAAAAAGGAATAATTGTTGACAAATGTAATGCGTTTTTCTCCTTATAATTTGACCACCTCTAAGCCATTTCAACTGGCATAAACTTTAGTAGAAAAAGGTATGACAAGAACTGATACAAAATAGAATACTGGAAAAAAGTGTTGAAAACAGAGATTTTACTCTCCCTTTATGGAGTTTCCCTGCTGTAACATAGGGCAGAATTCAGCTCAGAGTAATCTGACATGTTGTGGCTATTTATCTCTCAACGTTAAGCACCCCCATAAGGTGCTTTCACGACTTGGTGACAGTTTCGAAGGCCTTAGCCATTAGAAAGGAGATAGGCTAATCCAACACTCTGAAGTCAGGCATTCAAACACTCTTATTACTATCATTTTTACATTTCTAGATATATTTCAGATATAGCTAACTTTATGTTTTTGTATTTTGAGAGTGATATTGTATGCTGCACTTCTAGCAAAATCAAACACTGGGCTACAGTTGCTTTTTTCCTTGTTAGTATCTTCCCAACCCTGGATATTCTCAAATGTTTGAAAAGTACCTGAGGTAATTCACACACTTGGAGCCTCTCTAAATCACAGCAATTCCATGTCATCCTACTGGCCAGGATGTTGTCCAGAGTCAGCACATACTATCTCTCGTCCCTAATCTTTCTCCTCTAATGCAATCTCCTAGGCTTGCAAGGAGATGCTGAAAAGTCGGACGTCTTGCTCTTCATCCCAATGACTGCTCTTAGGAAGCTCCTGTGCTGGCTGCGTATGTTTTGGGTTGCGTTAATGATCTCATTTTTCTCTGGCTGTTGTGTGAGATGAGAAGGGGTAGATGTGCTCTTATGCTAAGCTCTGCCCTGACCACTAGAAATCTGATTAACAAACCCCCCTTGAAGGTATTCTTGTGAGCACCAAGAATGACTGTGCTACAGGGCACACAGCGAGGGGACAAGAGTCGTGGGATATGTCCCATCTATTTGCCTCTGATTGACAGCCTGTCCCTGTCAGCTGTAGCTGGGCTGTAGGAGGATGCTGTGTCCCCTGCCTCATCCCCACCTGCTCAGCACTACTCCTTTGCTCACGGCTATGCTGCCCACGGGTCTGCCTGGAGCTGCTTGACTGACCACACTCCAGTTCCAGTCCCTCAAACTGGGCTCTGTCCAGCCATTACACAAAAGTCATAGAGGCCAGTTCAGGATGCAAACTTCTTCACTCCGTATAACTGCAGCCAGGGGAGGATATAAGGCCAAGGTTATTGTTACTCCGACTTCTGATTTAATAATTTATTAGACTATAACTAAGATTTCTAAACTGCAAAGACTGAATTAAATATGAAAACTAATAAACCACAGCGG